GNATAGGGATGTAAATGGGTCGGGTCGGGTACGGGTTTTGGCAAACCCAGACCCGACCCGTGTATAAATTACCCTACCCAAACCCGACCCGTTACCCGGTTAGTGATCTTCGGGTTCGGGTTGGGTTTTACCCGTCGGGTTAGCGGGTTTTCTTCGGGTAAACGGGTAACCCGAGTTCTTAAATTTTGGCTTTACACGACCCATCTCGTTTGATATGAAAAAATAAAATAAAATAATTTTACAATTAGTTATAATGTAACAAATAATTTATCAACTAAGTTTGACAATAAAAACTATAAAAAAAAATATATTATTTTTGAAATAAATAATAAGATATAATTATTTAACTTTTATAGTCTATTTAATAATATAACACTTAAAAATTAAGTATTTAATTTTTTTATTGTACAATTAACAAAAAATGATAATAAAATAATAAAAATATAATAAAATTTAACCATTAATCAAAATTATAATAAATAATATAATTTTTAATATTAATAACACATGAATACTTTTATATTTATAATAAGTTACAAATATATACTTATATATATTTATATATAAAATTCAATGTGCGGGTAAACGGGTAGGGTAATTGGGTCGGGTAACGAGTTTTTCTATTATACCCGCACCCGACCCGACCCGGGGTTCGGGTAGCATAATTCTATCCGAACCCGACCCGAAGCCCGACCATCACGGGTTTACCCGACCCAAAAATGCGGGTAACCCGCGGGTAACCCGACCCTACGGGTTTTATTGACATCTCTAATTTTGTATAAACCTTGTAATATGGATTTTGTTATAACTAGGCCAAGCTTGAGGGTTTTTTTGGTCATCTCTTCTACTCGTTCCGCGCTGTGTCATAACTCTTAAAACAGACTTGGTGCACCGTGCCATGGAAGAGCGCCGTCGGCTGTCACTAGATTTTGCCCACCACCAACAACAAATCTTTCTTCATATCTTCAGGGATTTTGCCTTCGTCTTGTCTATTTCTGATTTACGTTAAGTTTTCCCCAGTTGAGACGCAATATTAAATAGAGAGCTGAGTGCCAGAAGCAAAATGGCGTGCATTTCGTTAAACACCTTCCAGGCTGCCAGTAATGGTGGAAATACGGCGTTCTCAGGGAATCGTAGTCACCTTTACAGTTTCTCGCCTAAGGTAATTTATCGATGTTGTTTTCGCGCCGGACCCATGAATTGGGACGCTGCGATCGACGGGTGTGGCCGCTTTGCTCGAGTTCGCCGCAATTGTTCTCGTGGCTTGAGAGTCGGCGATGGCGGCATTTATCGTCAGTCAGGCTTGCCTGATTTCAGCTGTCTTGGTTCAATTAATGGGGCGCCCGCTACTTCTGGTGAAAACATCTATATTTGCTTACTTTGTATTTGATGCAGGAAGGTTTCCTCATCTTTTTTTCTATTGAATTTTTCTTTTTTCTAACGCTGAACTCTTTTGATTACTTTTGATTTTCTGTTTTGTTGCGTGTCTGGTTCATGTTACTGGCTAAGGTAAGGAATGGAAAAAAAAATCGAAACTTTCGTGGTTCGGTTCATCAGTTTTCTCGCTAAAGCTAAATTAGTTCGTGTAACCCTAGCTGTAGGCTCAAATTTCTGTAAAATGTGAAAAGCTTTCCAATAAAATTTCCCTGCTTCTGTAGGCAGCAGCATTGTAATTCTTATTTGAAACAACAATTATCCACTTACCCAGAAGATGTAATGTAATTTATCAGTTTAATAAATTTGATATCTGTAAAATATTTTGTTCTGTTGCTAATTCACGCTCTTTGCAATAATCGACATTGTAGTTGAAAGAGTCACTGTACTGGTGATTGGAGGAGGCGGAAGGGAACACGCTCTCTGCTATGCCCTCAGAAGATCTCCATCTTGTGATGCTGTATTCTGTGCACCTGGCAATGCCGGGATATCCAACTCTGGGGATGCTACTTGTGTTGAGTACCTGGATGTCTATGACAGCTCGTCTGTTATCGACTTTTGCCGCGAATGGGGAATCGGGCTTGTTGTGATTGGGCCTGAGGCCCTTCTCGTTGCTGGTCTTGCCAATGATCTTGCCAGTGCTGGCATTTTCACTTTTGGGCCATCCTCGGAAGCAGCAGCCTTGGAAGGCTCCAAGGACTTCATGAAACGGTTGTGTGACAAATATGCTATTCCGACTGCTCAGGTTTGGTTATGTTTTGAAATAATTATGAAAGATGCAACTGACATTTATAACCTAATTAAAAGTAGAAGTTAGTTATTTTTCAAGTACAGACATCCCTCATGGCATTTTTCTCTATTTTATAGATGATACACTCTAGAGGTGTGCGTTTGGAGGGTATATAAAACTCGAGGAGGTGTTAGAGTTTATTTCAATTGGCAAATCATTTTTCTGAAGTCGATAATGTGGACATGCGGCATTATATATTGTATGTATTTGTGAGTAAAATTTTGGACATCAAATAATGTCAGAAATTTTATATTTAGCTCCCGCCTCCCAGAAAAAATGAGTATTTGGGATTCAAAATTTTGAGACCTATCACAAACATCCCATCATTATTTTTTTTTTTCAAATAAAATAGTTAATAATGAATAACCTGGAATTAATAAAATACTATAAGGAAGTTAGTCCGAACAATAGACTGGCGGTCTCTTCACGGCTTCTAAGCTCCAGGGTAGTTTTTGTGTCACTCATCACTAAATGGGTCTATCATTTTTTACCCAATTGATAGCACTCTTATCTCACTGACACTCTCATGCAGTACAAGACATTCACAGACCCATCATCCGCGAAAGCATACATCAAAGACCAAGGCACTCCCATAGTCATCAAGGCCGACGGCTTAGCCGCGGGCAAAGGAGTCATTGTGGCCATGACGCTGGACGAGGCCTATGAAGCCGTTGACTCCATGCTTGTGAAGAACGCCTTCGGGTCAGCTGGCTGCCGTGTGATAATCGAGGAATATTTGGAAGGTGAAGAAGCATCTTTCTTTGCCTTAGTAGATGGGGAAAATGCAATACCTCTCGAGTCGGCCCAAGATCACAAAAGGGTCGGTGATGGGGATACGGGCCCCAATACGGGTGGAATGGGGGCTTATTCTCCTGCCCCTGTCCTCACGAGTGAGCTACAGTCAGTCGTGATGGAATCTATCATTTATCCCACGGTGAGAGGAATGGCAGCCGAAGGTTGCAAATTTGTTGGGGTTTTGTATGCGGGTTTGATGATTGAGAGGAAATCTGGGTTGCCAAAGCTGATAGAGTATAACGTGCGCTTTGGGGATCCAGAGTGCCAGGTTTTTTCTCTCTTTTCTTTCCGTTTTTTGTTTTAGTTAAATTTGGAATGGATTAGTAATGGTGATAGGTACTCTTTGGCTATGTTTGGTAAAACTAGCTGATAGCTTATATGTAGGCTATGTTTGGTAAAATGTTTGGTAAAACTAGCTGATAAGCTAGCTCATAGTTTATCAGTAATTTTCAAGCTTATACCTTATAGATTATGACTTATAGCTGAAAAGCTAGCTTATATGATAAAAGTGTTTGTAAAATTAGCTGATAAGCTAGCTGAAATGAAAATTTCAACGAGCTTATTTGAAAAGCTACCCTAAGAATCTTATGAGATAAGCTCGAGCTTCGTTTATTTAAATACAGGAAGCTCATAAGTTAACCAAATAAGCTATAAGCTAGCTTATTTAGCTACCAAACATAGCCGTAATTTTCGAGCTTATATCTTATAGCTTATGACTTATAGCTAACAAAACTAGCTTATATGATAAAAATATTTGGTAAATTAGCTGATAAGCTAGTTGAAATAAAAAATTCAACTAGCTTATTTGAAAAGCTACCTAAAGAAGCTTATGAGACAAGCTCGAGCTTTCTTATCTTACCAAACGAGGCTTATTTGAATACAGGAAGCTTATAAACTAACCAAATAAGCTATAAGCTAGCTTATTTGGCTACCAAACATAGCCAAATTTATTTGTCTGCATTTACATGCTTTTAATTCCTTAAAGTGCAGGTACTAATGGTCCGTCTAGAGTCCGACCTAGCCCAAGTTCTACTTGCGGCCTGCAAGGGCGAGCTGGACAGCCTAACCCTAGACTGGTCACCCGGGTTTGCCATGGTCGTGGTCATGGCCAGCAAGGGGTACCCTGGTAATTACCAGAAAGGGACAGTCATCCGGAACGTGGACGAGGCCGAGCAGGTGGGCCCCACTATCAAGGTGTTCCATGCTGGCACGGCACTCGACTCGGAAGGGAACTATGTGGCCATTGGTGGGCGTGTGCTTGGAGTGACGGCCAGAGGGGCCGATCTCAAGGAGGCGCGGGACAGGGCATACGAGGCCATCGACCAGATTCATTGGCAGGGAGGGTTCTACAGACGAGACATTGGCTGGCGGGCCCTACCACAGAAGAATGTGAAGTGAGTGAGGGATTTTATTTTTGTTNGTCCTTCTTGTCCAAAATGGTTTGCGACGACTTTAGTTCGGCTGATGATGGATGATCTTGTCTGAGGCAAGTGTTTCGAAGAGAGTGAAGGAATTGTTGTCTTCTTGTGATTTGAGGAGGGAAAATGTGCAAGGGTTTTACTGTGGGTTGCTTCTGCTCTTCTTCCACAAAATTTTTCACTCTTGTTCAGCTTAATAAGTGATTGGAGGTAAAAAAGGAAGTTTTGGCATAAAGGTATTTAGTAAGGATTCTCCTTGTTCTGGTACTATATTATTGTTTTGAACTGAAAGCTAGTCCCTTGGACCTTTTGTTTGGGTGTGTCTTTTATTTATTTATTTATTTTTAATCATCCTTTTATCACACAACGTGTTCTTCTACTTTTGTGAACTCAAGTACTGATTGATAATGGAGCAAGAATTGCATGATTTGGGTGATTGGCAAAATAGAAACACTATAAATTAGAAGAATGAGGGATGCATGATTGTGTCAAGTTGAGAATAGGGTTCGGTTGATCTTTTATATTTTTGGGATAGGATGAGAAACTTTTTTTAAAGGAAAAGTAAAAGGATGCCAATTGCCAATTGGCACGCTCTCATTTGTTTGTTTTTTTTTTTTCTCCAGAAAAATAAAATTGTAGGCAATAATAAATTATTTTCAAATTATTAAAATGTTTAAGGTTGGAAAATAGTAATTAAATTTGATGTGATTGTAAAATATTATAACAATAATTGTATTTTTTCACTAGGGAAATAAGATTTCAGAGAAAAAATAATTATTTTTTATAATGTAGAACGATGTAAGGTAAAAATGTGTAATTAACGTTAATTGATAGAAATATAACATATTAATTAATAAAAAATATATGAAATAAATAAATATCTAATTTGTGGAGAAATATTTAGTAACGGCTGATTTTTGTTTAAAAAATGAGAAAATCATGGTAATAAAAGTGTGATGACTGAATAATGTATCCCCATAGAAATTTATTATTTGAACCTATATGAATATATATACATTAACATATACATAATTATATACACCTAACAATACCTCTTTTATATTATATTAGGAAATGGAAAATGCTCTTTTTTTTTTCACGCCACCCTAAATATTCCACATTGAATCCTGGGTGATAGGAGGGTGAAAGTCATTAGATAAACTAGTACAGAGCCCGTGCGATGCACGGAGTGCATAATTTTAAGGCTATTTATCCAGGCTTACAATTATATACATGAATAAAGAAAAATGTACGGGATATATATAGTACGTGACCCGTGCGAAGCACGACATATATTTATTTGGAGAATATTATATTATAAGATGCAATATTTAATAAAAATTTATAATACGCAAGAAATTGTACGTTCAATAAAAGTTTTATAAAAATAAAATGGAGTCTTAAAGTCTATTGTACATTAAGACTACTGACAAAATAATATTTTAATCAATGAGTTTCCTTTCCTTGTAGCCAAATTGTGAATGTGATTTGAGGAGTACAACATATATAGCTCACTTGCTTTTTTCATTGTAGTTTTTTTTTTTATTTATAATGAATTTAAAGATATTCTAAAATATAGCAAAATTTATTTTTTTTATTACAATTAGGAATTTTACTAAATATAAACTCTCAATTTATGGTGTTAATCAACGTTTAAGTCTAAAAAATTAGGAATTTTTACCTCTTTTAATCAACGTTTAAGTCTAAAAAACAATAGAGATATTATAAGTTTTTTTTCTACATCTTTTAAAACATTAAATATGAGCATGTTAGAGCTAGCTTGTAAAATAATTAATATATTATCTCACTAAAACATTTATACTAATAAAAATTTAATTTTAGCATATAAATTTATCCCTTGATATAAGAGAAAGTAACAGTTTTACTTATTGTTGTTCACCATATAATATTTAATTATTATTTTATTATATAATAAAAAAGAAATATTGTTAAATAGTGTAGTAGAATTGTTATAAAATTATATGATTTTTTTTTACAATATGGATTTAATATTTTTTTATGATTTGATAATATAAACAAATCTATACTTAACTTTGACAAATAAAACAAATAAATACTTTAGTAAGTATTTAATGTATATACTAAATAGAAATATATTTGGTATAATAAAATACCAAATATAATCAAATAAGTCAAAGTGTACATTTTTATTTGGTATTTGATTTTTTTATTATTACAATCTTTTTATTATACTTACCTTTTTAAAATAAAATAAATAAATAAATCAATTAAATAAATAAAATATTATAATACCAAAATAGTAATGACATTTAATGCAGTTGACTTTTCTGGATAGTAAATGTAGTAAATAGAATATCCTTTTATATAGTATAATACGAAAATAGTAATGCAATAAATGTTGTTGACTTTTCTGGCTACTTAATTTAGTAAATAGTACCCCCTTTAATATAAGTATAGATAGATTGTTAGACCCCTAATTGATGAGGAAAAATCAAGGAATAAAACCGTTCAAAAAACAACATTTTGAAATAAATTATTAAAATAATAATTTTAATATTATCTCACTCACCCTAAATGCATGCCTAGATTGAAATAGAGACTTCAAATTTTAATTCCAAAAAGGTCTCTAAATTCTTTAGTGACAATGAAGAATGAAACGGTCTCTTCATATTCTACTGCACCGTCTTTCCTTTTCACTCCCCCATCGCAGTCACACCCCACAACAAAACAATCGCTCGGAGAAAAAAAGAAAAAAGAAAAAAGAAAAAAAAAGAAAGAAAAACCAAGAAACCACTTCAGAATTCAAATTCAGCCTCCGCTGGTCGCCGCTATTCAATTCGATTCAGACAGTGAATTCCGCCCTTCTTTTCTTGATCGTGTTTCAAACGTTCGCCTCCATTAATACCGCTTCATGTTTTTTTAGTTTCGTCTTTGTATTTTTTTGTTTAATTTTTGAAAATTTGGAGGGTTTTGTTTAACGGTTGTAGCTTGACTCGATGCTTGCTCTTAGAGTCACTTCCTCGATTTGTACATGTTATATTGCTACTTTTTCTGGAGTAAATTGAAGGGGATTGGGTTGGATGTGCTGATGTCGATTAAGTTCAATGAGAAAGAATAATCTTACTGCCAATGATTTTGAAGCGTTATTGTTCAACTTCCAAGTGTATGAGAACCTGCATTTATATATTGCTGCTACGAATTGTGTATATTGAGTTGAGTTTGTTGAACACCCTGGCTCCAGTTCACATTTGAACCTTTTTGTACAGGTTGCACTGTCACTTTCCATGAGAAATAATAATCTTACTGCCAATGAAATTGAAGCTTTATTGTTTTGACTTCCAAGTCTATAGGAACCTGCATTTATATATTGAATTGTGTATATTGAGTTGAGTTTATCGAAAACCCTGGCTACAGTTCACATTTGAACCTTTTTGTACAGGTTGCACTGTCACTTTCCATGAGAAATAATAATCTTACTGCCAATGAAATTGAAGCTTTATTGTTCGACTTCCAAGTCTATAGGAGCCTGCATTTATATATTGAATTGTGTATATTGAGTTGAGTTTGTCGAACACCCTGGCTCCAGTTCACATTTGAAGGTCTTTTTACAGGTTGCACTGTCACTGTCCATGAGAAATAGCCGCAAGTAGAGTTGAAGCAACGAAGATGAAGAAGCTTTTCTCTTTCAGGTCACATTCATCTAACAACACAAGTAATAATCAACTCTCTCCACCACCAATTGATAAAGTTGACAAGCCTGGGAAAAACAAGAATGGTTCGGAAGATCCGGTTTTTGGTAGAGCTTCTTCTTTAAGACGAAGCCTCTCCTTTTCATCTGGGAGTCTTTTTGACGGTGGAAAAGGCAGTAGTGCCAGTTATTATGATTTAAATAAGCCATTGGGACGCCACTCCTCCCGGTACGTAGTCTCCTTTTTCCGTGTCAGTCTTTCCTGGTGTTTTTTGATAGTCCATCATGTTTACTAACGCATGTTTTCCTTTTTGGTGTGCAAAATTCTTCTTGCAGTTCTCGTCCTCAGACCCCTGAAAGGCAAACCAGATCAAAATGCATTGATGCAGCTATGGCTCCGAATGAACACAGAGCAAACTCTGATTTGTCAGAGGTCTCTCATTATTGCTCGAGTAATGTCTCCAATAGCGTTTTGGATAGATACATTGATGGGGAGCAAGAGATGGGTGAACAGTGCAGAAAATTGAAAACAAACTTTGAAAATGGGAATGCTGTGTTCAAGCGGCCGCCTAGGCTTCAGTTTGCTGCTTCCCGTGATGGTAGGAAACAGAAACCGAAATCCGAATCCTTCAGGGAAGCCAAAATAGCACCAAAAGATAGCAGTGAGTCTCCACAGGAACTTGCAAAGCATGTTGTTGAGAGGCTTTCTTCCCAGTCTCACTATTCTTTTGACCATCATGATAGTCCAATTACCATTGATGATATACGTGGAAGAACCTTTAACAATAGGTGCTCCAATGCGTACATTGAAGAAGATTCTCCGAAGAATTGGCCTATCGAGTCCAGTGATGGGTTTCCTCTCCACGACGATACTCTGGGATTCTTGGAAAAAGATGATGTCCGTAACACTGATGTGCAGTTGTTTAAGAAATTCAAGGAAGCTGAGGACCGTGCAGCGATTCTCTCACAAGAGTTTGGGATGGGAAACTATCTTGAATGTGGAGGATATAGTGTGCCGGCACTGATTCAGACGATTAGAAGCTTAACAGAGGAAAAGATAAATATTGCCCAGGAAGTTTCAACTGTCCTTGAGGATAGGATTGCCGAAAGGGCCCATCTCAAGGAAAATCTTAAACTAGCAAGGGTAGAGCTGGATGCGCAGGTCCGGAGATTGACAAAGGAAAAAAAGGAGTTGCAGTTGACTCTTGAGAAGGAGTTGGATAGGAGATCGAATGAATGGTCCATGAAGCTTGAGAAATTACAGGCGGAAGAACATAGGCTTCGGGAGAGGTTACGGGAGCTAGCTGAGCAGAATGTTGGACTCCAAAGGGAAGTCTCGTCGTGTAGCGAAAGGGAAATGGATTCTAGAAACAAAATTACATTCTCTGAGAAACAACTTGGGGATCTATCTGTTCGGTTTAAAGAAGCTGTAGAGGAAAATAATTATTTGCAGAGAAGTCTATCCGAAATGCAAGAGAGAGCCAGAGCAGCTAAAGAGGAGCGTGACTGCACCCGAAGGAACTATGAGGGTAAGGTCGTTGAGTGCAAAGAGTTGCATCAATCTATCAGTAGACTCCAAAGAACCTGTATTGAACAAGAAAAGACAATTGGTGGGCTACGTGGGCTTTGTGAGGAGGCACTTGGAAAGAAAATCTCTCAGGAAAGTCTTGATATTGGATCTGCTAAGATGCAGGTTGAGCATATGAGGCTGACTGGAGTGGAGCATGCATTGAGGAAGGAAGTTGAATCGTACAGAGCTGAGGTTGATTCGCTTCGGCGTGAAAACATTGATCTGCTCAATCGTCTGAAAAAAGATGGGGCATTCTTGACTTTAAAGTTGGACCGCGAAGTAGAGAGCCGTGTTAGCTGCTTGGAAAATCAAATTGTTCCATTGCTAATGGAGAGCAGCCAACTTGGCAGGAAATTGATTGAATTTGTCAAAACTAATGGGCAAGCTTCTGCCACGTGTTTGGATGGTCAAGCTCTTGTTGAATGTGAAGTGAAGCTACAGGGTCTAGAGAGGGCAGCGGAAAATGTAACAAGCACTCTTCGGACTGTGTCTAGTGTTTTGCAAGAGAAACCAACCCTGCCTAATGAGAAGCTTTGCCCAGTTTGTGTGGACACCCAATCAGCTAGCGCAGGTGATGATTCGTACAAATGGAATGAGCACAAAGCAGAGGTTGTTTGTTTATTTTCTTGATTAAGTTCCTTTAAATTAGATTTTAATCGTTTTTGCACTTTTCCAATATGCTGTATCTAATGTCAATTTGGTTTACTTACCAGGACATTGCCAGATCAGCCCTGAAAGCAGAGACGTTATTGACAAGTTTGTTGCGAGAGAAGCTTTATTCCAAGGAGCTCGAGTTGGAGCAACTGCAAGCAGATCTTGCTGCTGCTGTCAGAGGAAATGACATTCTCAAATGTGAATTGCAAAATGCAGTAGATAGTTTTTCTTGCTTAAACCATAAGATGAAAGAATTTGAACTTCAGGTAAAGTCTGAACTAAATTTGGTGCATGAGGAGACTCATCAGATGTTTCCTTAGTGTAATTGGTGTTTGGATCTAAAGCATGTGTGCGCATTTGTGACTGTATTACGGTTATAGTGTAACATTAAATGTTTTCTACTCGCTCAGCTCTGTAGACATTCACACTTCTTTTATTTGTATAACAGGCGATTAAGAAGGACGAGACGGTTAATCAACTAACAGGTGATTTGCAAGAATGCAAGAAAGAATTGGCTATAGTGAGGGGAATATTGCCAAAGGTATCTGAAGAAAGAGATATGATGTGGGAGGAAGTTAAGCAGTATTCGGAGAAGAACATGTTGTTGAATTCTGAGATGACTGTGTTGAGAAAGAAAATAGAGGCCCTTGATGAAGAGATACTACTAAAAGAAGGCCAAATAACCATTTTAAAGGACAGTCTTAGCAAACCTTTTGGCCTTCTTGCAAGCCCAGACTCTATCGATAATTTCCTCTGGCCGAAGAAGCAATGATTGTTCATAATACGGTTTTTTGTTTTTTGTTTTTTTTTTTACATTATGATAGGATTGGTCGTCTTTTTGAATTTGTGGTTCATTGTGAATGTGGAGTTTGTCTTCCGTGGTTTGGTCTATTGAAGATACGGAAATGGAGAATTTTGAAACTTTTGTGGTTTAGCTTCTTGTTATTGCTCTAATAAGCTAGCTTATTAGTTCCTGATAAACCTAAATGTAAGCTCAAGGTTTTATGAAGATGAAAATCTTTTCAATGAATTTCTTGCTTCTGTGGGTAGGGCACTGTAATTTATGCATTACAGGAGAAATATATTGGCCTAAAGTTTTAAATATATAGAATATATATATGTATATAATGTTGCTCGTTCATGTCGATTCCTGGGAAGCTAAAAAGATTTCATGAAATGTTTGTGCAAAAAGATGCTATTCAGATAGCTAAGGTTTGGTTATGTTTCAGGGTAATTACAAAAGATTCTAGCTGTCATTTAACATATTTAAATTGAAAAATTGATTCCTTTTCAAAGTACAGACATCCCCTGAGATAAGACGCATTCTCAGCAAGATGGACGTGACAAAGCTCAAACAAAGAAATGTTTGGGAATGGAATCAGTAACTGAATAAGCTCGTGAAGGCTGCAAGAAAAGCTCAAACCAAGAATAAGCTCGTGTGGCAATGGACCATCCACAAGGATGATTCCCCTCTTTTCAAGAACCTATATGCCATTCGGAACCTAATAGTTGAAAAGTTGGGTAGCACGCAAGCCGCCGAGTCCGCTCTTAGTCTTTGGGATTCCAACTCTCACTCCAAGGGGCCCTCATGCGTCTATGATTTCTTCCGATCCCGAGGCACACCCGTCCCATGGAAGGGTGTGATTTGGGGGCCCGCCAATACCCCCAAACACGCCTTCATTCTTTGGCTTGCAACGCTCGGAAGGCTCCAAACCAAGGATAGACTTGGCTTCCTTGATATTGACCCTACTTGTGCCTTTTGTGGGGAAGCTTCCGAGACAAAGGATCACCTCTTTTTCACTTGCCCCCTTTCAGCTCAAGTGTGGCTTGGCATCCGACATTGGCTAGGATTGAGGCGACAACTCTCCACTCTAAAGAGTGCTTTGAAGTGGATTAAGAAGGAATCCCAAAGTTCCGGTTGGAGAACAAAAGCAACAAAGGCCGGACTCGCTGTTACGGTGTACTTCCTTTGGAATGCTCGAAATAAGAAGATTTTTGAAAATGAGGTGCAATCTCCGGAGCTCATTATCCGGAGGATTCAAACACATGTCTATAGAATTATATTTGTTTTGTACCCGAATGTCCTTGCCGACATGGAGAGAAAAGTCCTCGGGAATGGCTTGGCCTAGCCTCCTTATGGTACGTATGATTGAGAGTCATGTTAGATGCTTGTTAGTTGATTACGGTTTCATTTGATTAGCAAGTGAGGGACCAGTTTGTGGTGGCCCACTTCACTTCTGTATGCCGCGCGACGGTCGTTGTAAAAATATTTTTTGAGCTATAAAATTTTATTTACCGATCAAAAAAAAAAAAAAAAGAAAGGTTTGGAAATTCATAATATGCCAAGTGAATGATTTGCCTCAAATAGGCCTTGGGCAGCAGCCTTCAACTGCCTAGAATGTGCTCTGGACATTCTCAACAAACTCACCCATGTGCCTAGATTTGGATATGTGAGTCGTATACTATGCAAAATGTCGCATAATCACAAAATATGTGACGTTTGATTTAGATATGCGACAATTAATTATGCAAAACTCTCTTATAGTAAATCATGCGATGAATTTGGATATGCAATTACAAAATATGCGATTATTAACTATGCGTATGATTTAGATATGCATTGGCATAATTATTAACTATGCGTTCGATTTGAATATGCATTCGCATACATGCGATAAAATCTTGCATAATGGATTAGTCTTTCTACTACTTGCTACTATCTCCTATTTTCTATTATCATTTTGATATCTGGTTCATTCTTGAGTTGTGAGTTGATTTATTATTATTATTTTTTTTTGAATATACCAGAAATTTTATAATGGGAGATAAAAGATGTCGCTAATAAAACTTTGAAGCTATATATTACAGTTTTATTTGAAGCTATACAGTACAGATAGATGTTTCTAGAACGAGACTCCACGTTTTCACACCTAACCCCACCCCCTCCCACATTTCCCATTAAAACCCCTTATCTTCTCTTCCATTACTACTCAAACTCTACTCTCCCAAATTCCCCAATTCTTAGGGTTTTGACCCCGAGCTTCCGCCCCATTTCTTGCCTTCAACGCGTACAGTCCCGCAGTACATCCTCCGTGAAGGTCCGGAAATGGCGGCTTCAGCAGCTCAGATACACGCTCTCGGCGCTTCGGCTTTCGTTGCGTCCGGGAATCCTGTCAAAAAGAGCGCCACTAAATCACTGTTCTTCGGGTCAAAGCTGAATAACAATGACCTGATGAAGCTGAATCTGAAATGCAAAGCCAGAAGCGTTTCCCGTCGCGGCATGCCCCTCCGTGTGGTGGCGGAGAAAGTCGTGGGAATTGACCTTGGGACAACGAACTCCGCAGTGGCGGCAATGGAGGGCGGGAAGCCCACCATTGTTACTAACGCTGAGGGCCAGCGGACAACGCCATCAGTAGTTGCCTATACGAAGAACGGGGACAGGCTGGTAGGGCAGATTGCCAAGCGGCAGGCGGTGGTGAATCCTGAGAACACGTTCTTCTCCGTGAAGAGGTTCATTGGGAGAAAGATGTCTGAAGTTGACGAGGAATCAAAGCAGGTCTCATATCACGTTGTCAGAGATGACAATGGAAATGTGAAGCTGGAATGTCCTGCCATCGGGAAGCAGTTTGCAGCTGAAGAAATTTCAGCTCAGGTAGAAATTTAATCTCTTTGAATATTGTCCTTTCTTTGTCTAGACTCAAACTGTGATTCTTTTTACCAATACTGCGCGCTATCACGAATATTGTACAATGTTCATTGAGCCACCTACACACACACACATACATAAAGTGGATATTGTTGAGTATTTTTTATGGTGAGGGTTTGAATTGGCTGGTTCTTATTAGGATTTGAATGTCATTTGGAGAAGAACGTTACCTGTCGTATTCTCTTACTCTTAACTATAGAATCAGAGATCTCACATTTGTTATACTTGAGGAACATTTTTTGAACCGCCCTATAATTTATGTCAGCATGATAGAATGAAAAATGGAGTATTTTTCATGAATGCATGCAGTGGAAGAGATGCAGAAACCAATGAAATTGTGGGATAGTTTTCTTGGAATCACCCGCATCTGCACCTACACCTGCACCACACCTGTTGATACATGAAAAACTTATTGAGTCTTGTATTCTACCTTTTAACTAGTTTCTTAAGCTTTTGCCTTTATTTGGGTAGTCATGAAATGATATTGTTAGATTGATTTCACTCAAGTACCCAATTAGGATCTGATGATTTTTAACCTCTTCATGTTTTAGGTTTTGAGGAAGCTTGTTGATGATGCATCAAAGTTTTTGAACGACAAGGTAACTAAGGCAGTAGTCACTGTTCCAGCATACTTCAATGATTCTCAGAGGACTGCTACAAAGGATGCTGGTCGTATTGCTGGCTTGGAGGTTCTCCGCATTATAAACGAACCAACAGCTGCTTCACTTGCCTATGGTTTCGAAAAGAAAAGCAACGAAACTATATTGGTTTTTGACCTTGGAGGTGGTACTTTTGATGTGTCAGGTATAAAATGTCATTCACTTTGCCAAATTTGTTTCTGCTCAATAGTATATCTTGTTTGGCTTTGTTTTACGGATTATATTTACTTTCCGATTATTGGTATAGCTTTCTTGTAACTCCTGCTCTGGAGTTTGAAGCACTAAGTTAAACATACACCTGCACAATGATTTTGATTCTTTGCAGATCCCGTAGGCTTTACCTATGCGAAACAGTTTGTCATGTATTGATAGAACTGGTGAGGTGGTCCTGTTGTAAAATGATGTTAACACTATCATCTGTAGATCAATAAATATTTCAAATTCGTGTATACTTCAAAATCTTAAACAATCACCTCTTTGAGATTTCTTATTGTTATTCATTTTTTTTATTTTTTTTATTTATTTATTTTTTTTTTTAGTTCTTGAGGTTGGTGATGGTGTGTTTGAGGTGTTGTCTACTTCTGGAGATACACACCTTGGCGGTGATGACTTTGATAAGGTTTGTGCTCCAATCTTGCCCACTCATTGAAATATGCATTTCTCTTGGATTTTCCAAAGCAATTGATAGATGTATCGGCTCATCAAATTGTTGGAATTCATACAGAGAATTGTGGATTGGCTTGCTTCAAATTTCAAGAAAGACGAGGGGATAGATCTGTTGAAGGATAAACAAGCTCTTCAGCGTCTGACTGAGACAGCTGAGAAAGCTAAAATGGAACTATCATCTTTGACACAAGCTAATATCAGGCATGTTTTGAACCTTGTATGTCTTTTGGTAACCTTCCTCGTGCACTCAACTTACCTCTTAACTTTTTGTCCCTTTTGTCAGTTTGCCTTTCATCACTGCCACTGCAGATGGTCCCAAACATATTGAAACCACCCTTACAAGGGCTAAGTTTGAAGAGTTGTCCTCAGATTTGCTTGACAGGTGACCGCATCTTGTGTTCTTGAAATATCTCGTGTTCTATATCCTGCACCACATTATGAGCAAGAAACATCATTATCATTTACAGGCTCAAAACCCCTGTTCAAAATTCCCTGAGGGATGCAAAGCTCTCCTTCAGTGACATAGATGAGGTAATCCTTGTTGGTGGTTCCACACGTATTCCAGCAGTTCAGGAACTTGTTAAGAAATTAACTGGAAAGGACCCAAACGTGACAGTGAACCCTGATGAAGTTGTTGCCCTTGGAGCTGCAGTACAGGTCATCCCTGTTCCTCAACTACATGTCTTCTTACGCCTTATTTTATTTTTTTCTAACCATGTATGTTGTTTATCTCAGGCTGGTGTGTTGGCTGGGGATGTTAGTGACATTGTTCTTCTTGACGTGACACCACTATCATTGGGTTTGGAAACTCTTGGTGGGGTTATGACAAAGATTATTCCAAGAAACACCACACTGCCAACTTCAAAATCGGAAGTGTTCTCAACAGCTGCTGATGGCCAGACCAGTGTCGAGATTAATGTACTTCAAGGTGAGAGAGAGTTTGTTAGGGACAACAAATCTCTAGGAAGCTTCCGTCTTGATGGAATCCCGCCAGCTCCCAGAGGGGTTCCTCAGATTGAGGTCAAATTCGACATTGACGCCAACGGGATCCTATCTGTTGCCGCCATTGATAAGGGAACTGGGAAGAAGCAAGATATCACCATCACTGGTGCCAGCACTTTGCCAAGTGACGAGGTTAGTGGTTTGCTGATACTCTTGATACGTTTTCACATGGCCTCATGCTAAAATCTCTTAAGAGTTTCTAAACTATTTGAGCATCCACTTTCAATGAATGCCATGCAGTAGTTTTTGGTTAATTAGATGCCTTTTCACTGTCAGGGATGTCTTGGCTACATTACTAAACATACTACAAAAACTCTCATTCATCTTAATCTGGGGTCTACTATGTCAACAAACTGTACCAATCTTTGGATAATTTAATGCATACCTTAGGTATTCTTTGCAATAGCGGAAGGAAATGATTTAGAATAAGGCATAACTATGAAATTACCAATGAGGTTTTGTGTATGTATGGAAAGCCCATAAAAGCTTTTAGTACTTCAGTTAAGCTCATGAGATCTGATTATGCCTTGAATTGACGAGGTATCTGGATAGTTTCACGAATATAAAGGGTTTCGAATTTGTTCTTTCTTTCTTTCTTGCTGTAAACTTGAAATTCCTTCTGATCTTATTATGACCAACGACAAGCATCACGAGTGATTTTTGTAATTTTTGTTTAAAAAAATTACTAGATTTGTTTTTGCTTAAAACAAAACTAAACCTTTCGTTCCTGTTCTTCGCATTTTTTTATATTTGATTTTCTGGGACAACAGGTGGAAAGAATGGTGAGTGAAGCTGAAAGATTCTCAAAGGAAGACAAAGAGAAGAGAGATGCCATCGACACTAAAAACCAGGCTGACTCGGTAGTTTATCAGACAGAAAAGCAGTTGAAGGAGCTCGGTGACAAAGTCCCTGCCCCTGTCAAAGAAAAAGTGGAGGCCAAATTGGGAGAACTCAAGGAAGCCATCTCTGGTGGCTCAACCCAAGCAATGAAAGATGCCATGACTGCTCTCAACCAAGAAGTAATGCAGCTTGGGCAGTCACTCTACAACCAACCTAGTGCTGGCCCAACACCTACTCCGGAGGACTCGTCTGAAAAGGGACCCAATGGCGATGTCATTGATGCAGACTTTACAGACAGCACATAATAATATAACCACTGTATGTGGAAAAGATTGGTGCTCAATATTAATTTTGATTCTTTTGACCTTTTTACGTCTTTTCTTGTGTATACAGGATTGTTTTTGTGTTTGCTCGGTGAGGAGGTTCTAAAGTTGGTTGTGAGAGTGATTGAGATTGTTACACCATAATAGTTGCTTCCTGTAAGCTTAGACTGGTTATGCTTGAAGATTTTATTTTTTTGTTGACATTTGAGATTTTGCTCGTGGAAAAATGTGGCTGCGAATTTTACATGGTGCATCTCCCATTTTATGCTGGGTCAGAAAATTTTCAATTTTGAACCTATCAAATCAACTATATCTATCTATCTATATCTATCTATATCTATCTATCTATACTATTATAAAAGGACGAGTGAAATACTCTTACTTACATATTTTTAATGGAAAATTAGTAATATAGTAATACTTATCTTATTTTATGTTTTTAATTAACAAATGAACTACCTAAAAAACTCTTACTTTGAATGGCAAATTAATACTACACCAATAATCATCTTATATTTTTAATTAATAATTTATATTTAATTAATTAAATATAGATACATGAACAAAATATTCTAACTCTCCTAAAAATCAACCTCAACATTCTCATACCATTATTCATCACCAATTTGATTCTTTCACGTATCTGTCAAACTGTTTTCTTTCATATCTCCCAAAAATTAACCCAACAAGGCTATGAGAGAATATATAGTTGATATTTTCAAAAACGTCTTTATTTTAATATAATTTTATTGTGAAATCGTAATCATAAATTTTCAATTAACAAATGAATTACCTAAAAAACACTTACTTTGACTTATTTTTAATGACAAATTAGTCTCCTAAAAATCAGCCTCAATATTCTCATACCATTATTTCTCACGAATTTGCTTTGTTTCACATATTTGTCAAACTGTTTTGTTCATATCTCCAAAATATCAACCCAGACAACAAAAATTTGAAAAGATATATAATTGATGTTTTGGAAAACATTCTTATTTTTAATATTATTTTAATATAAAATTGTAATTACTTTAATTAATAACAAAAACTATCCCACGAATTTGCTTCTTTCACATATTTGTCAAACTGTTTTTTCATATTTCCAAAAAATCACCCAGACAACAAAAATTTTGAAAAGATATATAATTGATGTTTTGGAAAACATCCTTATTTTTAATATAGTTTTAATATAAAATCGTAATTACTTTAATTAATAACAAAAACTACTACATGAAAGTTTTAATGTTTAAGAAAGAATACACAAAAAAATGCTATATTGCAATAATAAATACAACGGTCAGACATTCCACTTAAAATCGCAACGAATAATATTCATTGGTATAGCGAATATGTATATACATATTCTAACAAACTAGAAAAGTGGATCAGTTCATTTAGCCACTTCGTTATTTAAGAAAAATAAAATCTTATATTTAGAAATTGCACCTTATATTTATTGAATTGAATTTTTATCCCACAAAAAACGTTATTTATGTGTTTGTTTGATTCTTTTTTCCAATTTTGGTCACAAGGCCAATAAAGTTAACGATTTTCACCTGACCATTAGGTGAAGAACATATGAAAGGACACATATAAGTTAGAAAATATTAAAAAAAAAAAAACATGATTTTTCTTAATTCAATATAAGAAAATCATTGAAAACAATATACTTTTTTAGAATTTTTTATGAACAAAACTTGAAATCGGTATTGTTTGTTCTCATAACGGCCACGAAGTAGAAATATTATTTTTTAAATTAATCTATAAAAATATTAATCTTTACCAAGAAATTATATGGATATATTACCAGTATCCATCTATCCAATTTGTATTATGATAATAAAGCATTGTTTTTCCTTACAAAAATGTATGAAATTAATATATAATAAGACATATATAAAATTTCATAAATAATATTAAAAGTGTTATAATTGATTAAAATAAATATAAAACTTTTAAAACTTGTATTTATCAATATAAATGAGTTGAGTTGTAAACATTTGTTAATTTTTTGTGATTATTAATTCTATGTGTAAGGTTTAGGTGACAGACAATAGTTATTTGTACTTTTATCCATTTAGGTTAGAACTTTTAAATTTTTTTTTTATAAAAAATGATTGTTCTAATTTGAATAAATTTTTTATTTGATATTAGCTTTTTAAATATAATATAAAAATATCATATTACAATTATACAATACTAAATATTTTTATTATTTAATATTTAATATGTAAGAAATATAACTTGATTAAGAAATTAATAGGTAATCTTGAGATAAAATAATGAGTGGTATCTGAAACAATTACATGACTAAAAAGCCATGTATTTAATGTATTTTTAAAATAAAAATTGTAAAGATAATTAAGTAATAACAAAAGATATCACATAAAAATTTAATGTTTAAGAATGAATAAATTAAAAAAAAAAAAACAACCGTAAGGTATTCCCCTGAAAATTCCAGCGGATATTTCATTGGTATGACTTTCATTGAAAACTTCTTGGCTATTCCAACGAAGATAAAGTTAAATTACATTAGAATTTAACTGATTAATTATTCTCATTACTATTATTTATTGTTGTGTGATTTTTCATTGGATTTTTTCTCAGACAATATTTCAACCGTTGGAAAAACAGCCATTGGAATTGTAAAAAATTCAATGGAAGTTTCATTGAAAAGCTAAATGCAGTGACAGATCCAAAATAATTTCTTACAGGGGGCACTATACCATCAAAATAACATAATGCTTTTACAATTTATACTTTGTCATATTTCTCACCTGTGATACATTTTTAATACATCAATACAGTCATGATAAGTTAAAATATATTAACAAAAAAATATAATTTTTCTTCAACATAATAAAATCATTGAAAATAATATATTTTTTAAAATTTTTATGAACAAAAAATTTAGGTTGTGGTATAGTTGACTCGACAATATAATTGATGAATTTGTAAATTATTAATATATAACTATAATAACACATACATTAGTTAAAGAAGTCATGGAAAAAGTTAGAGAAAAAATATGTTGCAAAAGAGAGAATAGAAGTTGTCATCGAGATTAAAATAAATAAAATTAAATTAAAAGGGTGACATTGTAATTTTTAGATTTATCATATTTTATTTAGTAATTTGTCATATTTCTCACCTGTAATACATTTTTAATACATCAATACAGTCACGACAAGTTAAAATAAATTAACAAAAAAACATAATTTTTCTTCAACATAATAAAATCATTGAAAATAATATATTTTGTAAAATTTTTATGAAAAAAAAAAATTTATGTTGTGGTATAGTTGACTCGGCAATATAATTGATGAATTTGTCAATTATTAATATATAACTATAATTCTATATACATTAGTTAAAAGAGACGTGAAAATGTTAGAGAAAAAATATGTTGCAAAAGAGAGAATAGAAGCTATCATCAATATTAAAAAAAATAAAATTAAAAGGGTGAAATTATAATTTCTAAATTTATCATATTTTCTTTAGTTATGATACTGTCTTTATGGTATAACTTTAATAAAGTTTTGAGCTGAATTAAATTATAATTGGTTGAGTCACAAATTAATTCATTATTTATCTTTATTTCTTTTAATTTTACTTTCTGAATATTTGGCATGAATAAAATTATGAAAACTATTCCCATAATTTTTGTTAGATACATTATGCTATATGTTTTGGGAAGTAGCCATATGTCGACCGTATTAAAAAAAATGGATCTGGCCATGATTCAAACAAAATATTTTTGTTATATTTTTTATTGAAATAATTCAAACGAGAGGAATAATATTTAAATATTCGATAGAATTGGTATTAATTTTTTAGTTAAATATTTCATTACTTTCTAACATTAAATTTTTGACTTTCGAAATACTTAATATTTTTTTATTTGTTATCCTTTTATATGTAATACATCACATCATTTCTTTCCAATGATGTTGATTTGACAATTTATTGTAAATAAAATAAAAATATTATAATTATTTGTAACGATATAAAATAATATATATATATATATATATATATATATATATATTATCAATACCAATTAAAAATAATAAATGAACCTAAAAGTATCTCATAAAATAGATTATAAATCTATGTTAAATAAATTTTATTAAGTATAAAGTAACATAAGATAAACATGTGGACATTTTTCTTACATAAATTTAAAATATTAATGCTACGAAAAAAGTAAAAACTAGATGTAAACTTACAACTATTGTCAATTTTAATTATTTGAATTAAAAAGAGAAATAAATGAGTAGTATGCTAAACTATTATTCAATACTTCTTCAAACGGAACACCATAATCGTTGTAACATATACTTTCAATGAATATGAAAATGAGTTAGTTACATTATGTTTTAATGAAAAAAAAATGTGAACTTTTTAATCTTATAAACAGTATAAAAGTACAATTTTATCAAATATATATTATTATAAATAAATAATATTTTATCTTATGTGATTATAGTTGTAGCCAAATAAGTAAAATACTTTGATAACAACATAATTATATCAGATTTGTAAACAAATTAAACAATACATATAAATATGCCCTAATTCTTTTAACAAATAAAATATTATCTGCGAATATAATAAGAAACAAATAAAACAATATTAAGGCAATGAGGAAAAAGAAATCTGATTTTTTTATTTTAGAGAAATATGAATATCAACATTTAGAAACAAAAGTCTTTTATAATTACTACATTTTTTATTACTGGCATTTAAATTCTCATAAATATTGACCCTATATTATCAATTTTGATTTTTAAAATAATTAAAAAAAAAAAACTTTGTAATAGATAATATATATTTTAATAATAATTTTGTAATAAATTTCACAGATGGCGAAGAGTATTATAATATAATAGAATTTTGATTTTTCTCCTCTATAATATTTTAACAAATGATATGTTTCTCAATATTATCTCATTGTTTTTTTTTCATTGTTAAAGAATCAAGAAAAGATATTTATCATAAATTTTTAAAACGTTATGATTGATGCAAAAATTTGGACAATAAAAGTGTTTGAAATCATTGGATCAACCAAGCTGCTCAATAATTTGCAAATAACATATTATATAGTTCGTCTATCTTCAAAATAAATAACATTGAAAAAAAAATGTCGGAGCATGATAAAAATATTTTTGAATTTTTGAATGAAGTTATTATATTTTGATAGAAATATCTACAATTTTATTGGGGTATTGTGCTCGAACATATGTGCAAGTACTCCAGAGTATATACTTTCATGTAATGTATGATGATTTCAAAAAACAATTTAGTCTTCATGTAATGTGTGATGATTTAAAAAAATAATTTAGCGTCCCGGGAGAAGTATATGTAACCAATATTTTGAAAGGTCAACTTTTATTTGGAAATAAAACTCATTCTCACCCCATGAGGGAGGTGTCAATTTGTCTATATGGAGAGAGAATAATGTAGTAGTTTAAAAAAAAAACAAAAGATAATATCAGCAATTTTAGTGACACGGTTGATTATTTCACAGAGATATTCATTAATTGTTATTAGCAATACTTTATAAAGATCATAATCATAGAGTTTGACTATATGTTTGGACAAAATATTTTGCATTGTTTGAATAAAATAGACTTTTTGCCTAATGACTTAAGAAGAAATTACCTATTGATGTATAGAATTCGAGTCGGTATGAATGTTTTTATTATGAGAACGTCAAAACTAAAATGAAAGAAAATCACTCTTGAATCATCAAACATAAATAAAATAAAAAATAAAAAAAATAATGCATTTATAATATACATTGTCTTTATTTAGTTATTTAGTGTCTTTTTTTAAAAAAAAAATTATGGATTCATTTTTCATGTATTTTTGTCGGGGTTGTAATATGTTATTTTATTTTTTTTATATTAGTACATCGTTATGTTATATTTGGACAAAAAAATACATTAGGAGCTAGCTCATTTGTTCTACATTTTATTTTGTTCCTGCAATGATATGTTTAATAAATTAATTAATTTACTTTACTAAACTTAATCGGTAAAAAAAACATTCGGCACCACGTGCGATGCACGTGCACTTTACTAGTTATTAAAAAAAGTAGAGTCGTTTTTGCAAATATATATACCCTCTCAAAATATTATAAAGAGCAACGCCCATAAAGGTTTCTGTTACTTCAAATTAGGGCTGGGATTTTAAAACCGAGAACCGGGAAACCGAGCCGAACCGAACCGAACCGAATTTGGCAGGTTCGGTTCGGTTCCTTGTTATAATATAACAGCTTTCCCGATTCGGTTATTTTTGGGTTAAAATCGGTTCCGGTTCTCAGTTATTCATCCAAAACAAGTTAAAGAACCGAAGAACCGGTCCCACACATACATAACATGTTTATATTATATTACATGTTTTTTGGATAATACATTATATAATTACAAAAATGAAAAATAAGGTAATAAATGTGAATTAACACCAAACCACCTCAGGTACCCGTAGATCCCCTTATTCTCAACACAAATTCCCTTCCAATTTTCGTTTCCTTCTCCAATAAATCCCTAGGCCGCCGTCGCCACCATCGGCAGTCACCCTTTACCTTTTTTCGTCGAACCATCGCCAGCACCAGCGAACCCCACCTAGCCATCGTCGGCATACATCTACAACCCGCACACCAAACTCTAAGCCCAACACACGCATATCGCACAATCGTCATACCTGGGATGTTCGAGAATTTCCGGTATGTTTGTGACGGAAAAGAAGAAAAGTGGGTGGATTTTTATTTTTATTTTTAGTTTTTTTTAAAAGAAGTTTGGATCTGGATCTTCGAAATCGAAGGCTCGAAGGTGCAGAGAAGGCAATTGAAGTTTGCTGAGTTCGGATATGATTGAGGAAGATACTCAAAGGCTTGTATGTTTATGTTGGTGAATTAATTTTGCTTTTCACGTGAAGTTTTTTCTTTAGTCTAAGAACCGAAAAACCGGAAGAACCGGACCGAATACCAACGGATCGGGTACTACCCGGTTTTTCCAAAAAATGAGGCAATAACCGAACCGAAAAATTTGAGAAAAACCTGATTGCGGTTATTCAATATTTAGACAAAAACCGAACTGGTCCCACCCCTACTTCAAATATTCCTCAAGGAGTTTTTTTTTTTTTTTAACAAAATAAATAATATTCATATTACTGTAAAATATGTATTAATTTTAATAAACCAAAACTCCAACCGTAGTCTTCCTAATTTACCAAATAATGAATATTACTCTTAACAGTTTGAAAAATGTTACAAATACATAATAAATGTACATAGAGGTGAACATAACACACATGGAGTGGGGTCCACTTGATTTTTTATTTTTGGTAGATTCCACTCAATGTGAGTATTATATACACCCCTATGTACAATATTATGTATCTATAGCATTTCTCGTCATGACGCTCATTAAATGCAGTTATGACAATAACTGCAGTTGGACTACTAAAATTCTACACTTCATTGGGTTTATGAAAGTGGAACCTTAGTAATATTTACAGGATACCTTTTCAGATATTCTCAGTTTCACCCTGCTTCTTTTCCTTGGATATCAGAAAAACGAAAAAACACCCCATTTATGCCAATGGGTTATGAAAGTGCAATCTCATAGACCAATATGCTCAAGAGACGAGAGTCGTAACCAGAAACACCTTCAAACACATCAGATCCCTCTCATTGTACTTCACAGTCTGGCATCAAAATTCACAACAAACAAAGCAGGGAAAAAGAAGAAACAAAAAGAACAAGCAGCACCTTCTTCGCAGTTGGAGTAGAACATTTAACCCCAACCATAAAAGATTTATATGAAAGTCGAACATGATCACAATCTATCATCCACTGACAATTTTTGCTCATATAAGCTTAAAATAAATCCTCAACTGCGGTACCTGACACGGTCCCTGTCTCGTTCACGGTCACGATCACGATCACGATCACGTTCGCGCCCATAATCTCTGTCCCTATCATACTCATAACCTCTGTCTCTTTCTCTTTCTCTTTCTCTCTCTCTCTGCCTGTCATAATCCCTGCTACTCCTGTGCCTGTCCCTTTGTCTCTCATCACGCTCTCTGCCCCTGTCATTACTTCTTTCTCTTCTATCCTTGTCACCTGCATGTGTTGAAACAATTTCCTTTATTTTACAATACAAGTGTTATTTCCTTACCATATACTGTTCTATTTTACTATTACTATTTTATTGTTATTATTACCATCATTACTATAATTATTTGATTTTTAGAAAGAATAATAACTATAATGCCTAATTCGATAGTACTAAGGGTTGCATACAGAAAATTTAATTTAACGCAAATTTAGCATGCTTGTAGTTGCACAAGCAACTGACAAAGGATGCTCTGACGTGTAGAGAAAAGAGGATTTACCTATAAGAATTACTTTCAAGAGCTCCGAAAGATACTACAGAAGTGAACAACTTCAACTGAATAGGTGTGTTACTTAAGATACATTAAAGTCAACCAAGCTGTTACTAGATTTTGAGGTTATTTTTGCTCTTTGTTTATCTGTACTTATGTTTTGTGGGTATACTTCTCAGTCTTACTCCACCACAGACGTGAGAAACTAAAACAGAATAAGCTGCTGAAAATCAACATTGCCCACCTGACATAAGATCAAACAAATAAGCTGCTCAGCTGCCTAACGCTAACATACTTATGCAGACAAATTGTTCAAAATTGATAGTAAGCATCTGAAATTCCATACTACAACATACAACATTTATATAATAAAAATGGGTAGTGGAGACCTAATAGTCTCACGAATGTTCACAATACAACTAATTTGTAATACAAACTCAAATAGCACACAAAACCAAATACGGAATACCTAGTTCTTCGACCTCCCATCCTGCACGTCCAGCACCAGGGACCCCCTGAGTCATTTCAGCTTGCTGTGTTTTTGCACGAAACTTTTTCTTGAGATTGCCAAACTCATCATACATTTCACCATCGTCCTGTGATCATGAAAATTCATATTCATGGACTGAAACATATTTTTTCACCATATCTACAAATAAAGTTGAAAATTACTTCTTCAGCCTCTCGCCTACGCCGTTTTGTTTCTTCAAGCTCTTCTTCATCTAGCTCTTTGTAGCCTCCCCCACGTCCTCCTCTAAATTTAAAAGAAAAATGAAAATAATTGGCAGGCCAAGATGTACACACATGTTTAAACAGAGAAAATGAAACTAAACCAAAGCACTTTCTTCATATCCCTAGAACCCAAAATAAAGATCAAGATGGACAAATAAAGTTGACTCAATGTGGAATCATCATTTCCTGTGTGATTTCATAAATCCAGATAATGGAAAAGCTTCTTAACAATCTGGGAGGAGAAAATCTGAATGACTGCATAAAATGACCTTATGCTTGAACTTGAGAAGTTAAGCACTGCAAATTAGTAAGTAGAAAATCTGTTAAGGATAGCTATTTTTAAAAGACTTAGATAACGAGTGGAAAGTTCAAAACTCTTCAGAGCAAGTGAAAATTTACTAAAAGTGGTTATTAAACATTTAGGACTAGTTTCGATGTTAGTGGATTGATGTTAAATTAGAAGATTGAACCTAATTTAGAGGTTTGACACGTCAATTTCGATAACTAGTTTGATTGGTAAGAAGTGTATTTGATTATCTTTTCGGCCCAAAATGCAAAATTCTGAGTGTTCTGGATTTTGGATACTGTAGAAACCTCTACTTACCAAACACTCGTTTAAAACCCGCAATTACAATATGCTGGTCAAAGCAGCTATTGCAATGCGCTATCAACTATCCGCTATCAATTAAGCCAAACAGGGCAGAGCATCTCCAATGGTCCATAGATTGCTATATTTCACTGTCACGTGGCCTAATAAATCCTATATGGCATTAAAAATTTTTATAAGTCTAGAAGTATGTCAAAACATCTTTCATTATATATTATATTATTTACTCAATTTCTCTATCTTCACCAACCAATTACAATCTTACACATGTAAAATTATACTACAATTAACATCAACCATTGGAGACACAATTTCTTGATTTCCATTTTCTATGTTGTACATCTCAAAATGGACAATGTGCCATTGGAGATGCTCTAAGATATCTCTGTAGTTACCTCTCTCAACAAGTGTACAAGTGTAAAGGATAAGTCATCATAAAATTTCTAACCCTTTGTCGTCATTCATTCAATAAAAAATGCACTACGAAGGTATCATCAGTACGGAGAAGCTAAAATAACAAAAAATTAATATCCACATACCTCACACCACCCTCGCTAACTCCCGGTTTATTGGTGTTACAGATGTTGCATTTAGTGCGTTTTGCCCAATTAATGTTTCCACACCTGGATCAACAATTGACTAACTAAGAACATTAACTTTTGTTGGAATAATTATAGAGACCTTGAACATTGCTACATGCAAAAAAATTGCAAAGGAGGTTAGTGTTTCCACACCTGGATCAACAATTGACAAACTAAATAGTGGAGACATTGGACACCACACATACTATGAATAGCAAATAAAGATGAACCAACGTAGTGTCAACATCAATAGAAGATAGCAAATTGAATTAATGGGGTAATGGTGCTACAATAGGAAACTTCAAAGGAACAAACACCAATCATTTATATGGCCATAAAAGAAAGCATGTACGAGAAAAAATAAATACCAACACTATTGACACTAGAATGATCAGATAGTTACTTTTACAAAAATCTATTGCACATGCAGAAATAAAAGCACAAAAGCTTACTAATCCTTAAATAAATCCCTACAATAAACAATAGTATCAGGTGTACCACATACAAGAGCATATTACCAGATGGGCATCACCTGTGAAAATATACATCTCTAGTATAACAAAAGCAAAGTCGAGTAAGAACCAAACCAAAATACATTATTTTAACAAGAACAGAGAAACACATAAAGATATGATTTGGGGAGTGCAAGCAAGCAACAACAAAACCATACATCGGACAAGGCCAATCATTCGGACCAAAAAGCCCTCCTCCAGCAGGGCCCGCACCACGAGCACCACCTCCTGAGTCATGGCCACCCCTCCCCCTTCCTCGGCCACCACCTGAAGCTCCACCGCCGGCAGCTCCTGATGGACGAGCTGTCCCACATCGGTTGCATGCGCCACGAAATGCAAAGTTCACATTGCCACAACTGTTTTCACCACAGAACACATGAAACTATTCGCGCAGCCAGTTTTGAGGTTGAACATGGAAAAAAAAAATTAGTCAAAAAGAGCAAGAATGAGCTGCTCACCAATGATCACATCACAGACCTTGTATTCGAACACAACCAATCCCCATCTTGCTGCCATGCTTTCCCGCCGGCTTCACCACGACCTCTACCTCTTCCAACACCGCCATTAATGTCCTTGTCTCCTTCTGCCACTACACTGAGATCACCACTCACAAACGGGTCGACTGTATGAATCGCCATGTTATCTTTACTCTTTGACTCAGCGAGAAAGACACCGATTTTGGATCCATGGAAATCATTGTTGTTGAACCACTCAACAGCGGCTAAGGCAGCATGTGGGTCCTCATAGGTTACGGTGGCATCTCCTTTGGGCTCGTTTGTTGCTTTGTCACGGTAAATCCATATCTTGGGACGACCACTTCTTTTGTCTTTCTGTCAAGCATCACACAACACTCTGATGATGGATGTGACAAATGGACAAACATGCAAAGCTCGGACCATTGGCATTGGAGGGTAGGCAAATCAATAATTAATATAAATCATATGCCTTTTCAGTTACACAAAAGGATGCCAAAAACTTGCCAGGAGATGAAGAATGGAAAATATATATATATATATATATATAAATATTATCAGCAGCCATACCTTTAGCACGCCAATAGTACCAAAGTGTTCAGCCAGCATATTCTCATCGGTCCCAGAAGGTAAGTTACATACATAAACAGACCCATTCGTTGGAGCTCCCGAATAATGTGCCATAATGCTCCAATTTCATGAAAAAGTCGCCAGAAACACAAATTTGAAAACCCTCTATCACTCTTTCGACTGCTCTAGTTAATAAGAAATGGAGAGGAACAATGTAATCACAAGATGGAAAGCCGAAAATAACAACAGAAAATAGAGATTTTGCGTCGATTAACGGCGTCCCAGATGTAGCTGCAACTAATAATTTCAGTTGAAAGCATCTCCATTTAATAGTGATGAGCTACAGAGTCGAGATTTCAATAGAAAAATACTGAACACGAACATAAACGGGGAGACAAAGCTGACCTGATTTCACCAGTCGCGCCGCCGCAGGTTTAGTCCGATGAGATGGATGAGCCAAACCTAGCTGCGAAGGGGATCGGAGCCTAGTGGAAAATACACCAGGGATTGCGAGGGTGCATTGTATGTGTGTGTGTTTTCTAATAATTTTGACGAATTGGGCCGTGGAGCTTCTTTATGTGCTTTGCCAATCGTGAAACAATTACCACTTTAATTAGCTTAATGGCCCAAAAGTGGACCATTCGTGGGCTGCGTCAAATCCCCTCTATCGGATTTACGTGTAAAGGCGAGTGTATGTGCAGGTAATGATATTAGAATTACGCAAATGTACATGTCTATAACTCCTAGTCATCTTAATTTCATCTTTATGTTAGAATAAAAGTTTTATCATATCAGAATTTGTAGATGCAAATAATATCAAAAATATGATTTATCACTTTAATCCCAAGAAAATTCTAAGAATCCCAAGAATCTTGGAGCCATCCACTCCTCCGTAACAGACGCAATTAACTTCATATTGACAAAAAATAATTCAAAAATTACGAGACATAATTCATAGCGATCGATCTACAGAGCCTGATCCAGTCGAGATCTCCCCTGCCTTCATATTTTTTTTTTAAAAAAAAAAAATCACGATATGGAATTGGAAAAATTCGGTCGAGCAAAAATTTGGTTAATCGACATCTTGAATTAGAAAAAAAATTGTCCAACCACCAAATATATGTTCAAGTATACTGTATATATACATCAGATAAACATGATATGACAGTTCTCTATTGTTAACCGTATAGTTATGCATAAGATAAACAATATATAAACAATTCTGAAATGGGATTAAACATAATAAACAATTCTGAATAACTGCAAAAAATCAAATAGAATATAGTTATGCAAAAGATAAACAACACATACACAATTCTGAAACGGGATTGATTGACCTCACCACTCCCAACGTCACCCCTTCATCTCCTCAACGATCCATGGTGCATCTTCGACGTTGCACGGGTGAACCATAGTATTGCTCGAAAGCCGATCGACGAATTGAGAAAAAAATTTGAAAAAGAAGAAAAGAAAAAAAAATAAAGGTAATTGATTGATACTTGACGAATTGAACGGAGGAGGACGGACGGGGATGTCTCCTAAGCTCTCAGCCACCACCGGCGATAGCGGGCCACCAGGTGGAGGACTACACGTTGTAGTCGAGGGCTGTCAGGGCTACGCCGGCGAGCCACGCATCAATCGCGGTGAACTTATGATTGAGATATGAGGAGATGTCTCTGGGGCGAATTTTTTTATTGAAATATGTGTACTGAAAGAATGAAATTAGGGCACACAATCATTCAGAACTTCTCATCTTGTGGTTGCGAGAAAGTTTGAGAGAGAGAGAAAGAGAGAGAGAGAGGGTGGTTGCGATGGGATATTAAATCTCTCACATCGTATTTGTGATGAAAAGTTTAACATTTCGTATTTTTAATATTATTTGCCAAATGATTAGTAAAGGGAGTAATTTTCTCTTCAAGCTATATTATTGATAGAATGTAAATTATAGAAGTAGAAGTAAAAATAGAAGTAGAAATGAGAGTGAAGATATAAATAACAATAAACTATAACCGTTGAATGTGGTATATCAATACCTCAATTCGGAAAAAGGCTTCAGATTTGGTCAAACACGCAGTGACATAATTGTAATAATGAGTACTTTTCATTTTTCACGCGGAGACATTTTTGTCAATTCGCAAAATATATTTTTACGCTTTTGTGCATTTTTGGAGGCATTAATGTCCATTTCCACTATTATTATTATGCATTCTGTAGCACGATGACATTTTGATAAATTTGTGAACTATTAAATATGGCGACTATAATTTTAATATTCCTATCCACACGTCATATTGTCATTTCACTTATCATTATTGTTTAGTTATCAAAATTTTGATAAATTGCAGATTTACCCAAGACTTAAATTGCAATATATTAAAATTTATGAAATTGCAGATAAGTTCAAGACTTATTAAATTTTCAAAAGAAAGCCTCCATCGCCGCTTCGCCCTTCGCCCTTTGCAAATAATTTCAGAAGACTTATTAAATTAATGAAATTGAGATAAATTCACTAGCTCTACATTTATGAAATTGCAAATAAGTTTCCCAGCCCTCAACCGTCAGAGCCTCCATTGTCGCTTTGCCCTTTGCCTCCTCTTCTCCTCGTCGTAGCCCCCAAAAAATGTGGATATATATATATATATATATTTATACACACACAGACACACACACACACACACACTCACATATATATATATATACACACACACACTCATATATATATATATATGTGTGTGTGTGTGTGTGTGTGTGTGAGTGTGTGTGTGCGCGCGTGTGCGTGTATCTCTGGCGAAGGTGTATTGATAGAGACGTGTGTTTGCAGTTTTGTTGTGGTATAACATTTTATACACACGACAACGAAATTTAAACTTTCAACCTTATCTTTCCTTATGACAACTCTTGCAAATGGGCTTGTGGTTTATTACTTAGTATTCATCTAAAAATTAGACATTCGTTTTAACGATCAACTTCTGATTCTTAGTACTATAGAATAAACCCCTTTTTCGTTACTATAAAGTATCCAAGAAACAACCAATTTTCTAAAAGACTTTTTAATCTTACCAGTATCAACTTTTCAAATGCTGAAAATACTCTAAATTCGAATATGTCTTGACTGGGCCTCAGCCCTGTCCATAATCATTTCAAAGTGGAAGACACTTAGTTAGATTGAACTATGATCAGAACTTATGTCGTTATCTGCACAACTTCAAAAACAAAAATTTTAAGTTCCTAGGAACTCATTAGTGACTTAACATATACCTAAGAGAACTTATCTCTTATTGTCTTTAGTCGATGTGTCATTTATTTCCATTTATTGCACTGTGAGATATTTTGGTTATTTGAGTTAACAAATTATCCACCCATGTATCAAATGAACAAAAAGTTTCATTTTCAAGACAGCAAGCTTGCCATCAAACAGAACATAATATCCACACACAATATAGAAACCGAAGCTGGATTCTTTCAAAAACATGGTACACAAAGATAATTCCTCAAAACCAATTTCTATTAGAAAACTCCCATGTAATAGTTGCGACTTTCGTAGCATTGATCTTAGTTAGTTTGAACTATGATCAGAACTTATGTCGTTATCTGCACAACTTCAAAAACAAAAATTTAAAATTCCTAGTAACTCATCACCGACTTAACCAATACCTAAGAGAACTTACCTCTTATTGGCTTTAGTCGATGTGTCATTTATTTCCATTTATTGCACTGTGAGATATTTTGGTTACTTGAGTTAAATGAACAAAAAGTTTCATTTTCAAGACAGCAAGCTTGCCATCAAATAGAACATAATATCCACACACAATATAGAAACTGAAGCTAGATTCTTTCAAAAACATGGTACGCAAAGATAATTCCTCAAAACCAAATTCTATTGGAAAACTCCCATGTAATAGTTGCCACTTTCGTAGCATTGCTCATTCTAGATGGTAATCTACCTATCACTCAGTTGATTCCATTTCCTAGAAAGATTCTGACTTCTGAGTGAATAAAATTTACCTTTCTTGTCTTAAGGAAATGTTAGTTCGACTCTTATGTCCTTTTTGCTTAAACCCAATACACTCGCCCTATGACTCGTACATCACAGCAACTTAGGACATTGTCCATGTTCTATTTCTAATGATCTTTGAACACATAAATTATCTTTGAGATTAACAGACAACAGATTGAAAGCGTGTTTGAATAAACTAGAGAACCATGAAATAATCTCGGTAGGAGGTTTCCTTCTTGTTTGTCATGGAGGTTAGTAATTCAAAATTTGCCATAGTGTAGGATGCATAGTGCTAATAATGGACTAGATCAAAATGGCTCAATTAAATTCTAATGCTTCTGCTATTAGTGAAGTTTCTAGAAAAAAAAAAATATATCAAACGGCGCAATGCACCTTGGGTCGCTACGGAAACAACCTCCTCGTATAATTACAAGGGTAAGGTCTGCGTACAACTGACCCCCCAGACCCCAACCTGTTGGGAATATATTGGGTATGTTGTTGTTGTTGTTGTATTGAGCTCCCTCGATTAATTAATGTCGAGAGGAGTAATGTTTTGGGGAGATATACTAATATTGCGCTAAGTATATAAAACTGTAAACTTAGATATAAGTTCACACAATTGCGGAAGCATGGTTCTACAAAAACATGAACCTTCAGGGGAGCATCCAACTCCTCCTTCAGAATTCTTTCGTGTATATAAGTGTTTGACCCATTACACTTAGGATTTACAAAGAAGACCCCCTCTTCTAAACCTACAATATAGTACAACTACTTTCTCGACCACAAATCCCTTTTGGATTTCCTCAACAAGAATCCCTCGTATTGTTTTTTAGTGTTCTTCCCAAACACTAACACTCATGTAAAAATAAGAATATGCTCAACAATGAGATCGAGACCAGACACTCTGTTGTAGCAAATTTTGTTATTTTTACCGAGTACCGGATCAAAGTATTCATTCACCGGGTCGATCTCTCGAGGAAGGTTAGCCTGAATACTTTGCGCGTATATTTAACACAAAAAGAGAAAAAAATCCCAAACACTCTAATTCAAAGATTGGTTTTGATTATTAACTAGGGAATTGAGATAACACGAAATCAAGATTCAAAGCAAAAACAATGAATCAACAATGGAAAAGAACCTAGGGAGTCGCGGATAATTGTTTTGGTTCGAAACACAATTACGTGCAAGTGATCTTTTGGTCAAAAGACTCGAATAACCTACACGTTCAGAGATTCATCCTCAATAACTTTTTGTAAAAAAAGAATAAACATGAACGTCAATGAGTCGTTTAATACATAGGCAATACAGTTACGAACAAGCCTATTTCATACGAGGCTAGATCGATCAACTCCTCCCCTTTCTGTTCTAAGAATTGATTAAATTATACTAGAAGATGGATAACCGACTAATCTTTACGAATTAACATCATACCTGAATTACTAATGTTCAATTGAAAATCAGTTGCAAATTGAGGTGTCACTTTTCAACAACATTCAACATTCGGGGATGAAAATTAAAAACCCTTTTACAAGCAACTCGCATAAATTGAAGGATCAACAAGCA